TGGAGGGTCCCCCCCCCCCCCCCCCCCCTCCTCCTCTGAGCTCGCCTGCGGTCGGAGGCGTACGGTTACTCGACCTTGGGCCTTTGAAAGCAAATCTTTCGTCAGGGTCTCGATTCTGTGCGGGGCGGGGTACAAAAGGCGGGCGGAAAGCAAACCATGTCATTCTGGAACAGGCTCTTACGTGTTGTCGGCAAAAGCTTGGGAGAGCGCCGCTCTTTCTTAACACCTTGGGTATACTCAGGTGAGGTGCGACCCATCCAACAACGCAGCGACTCTGCGCTGAGTTTTCAAGTGCCCCCCTCCCTCTCTCTGGTGAAACTTGATCGACTTGCCGCTATCCTCTCGATTCGCGGGGTCGGCGGCAGCGCGCCATGCAGCACCCATGGATAGTGCCCGAGTTACATAATTAAGCCGATCAGAAATGTTGTGTGCAAACAACCATGCGTAATGCAGGCAAGAGCAAACAAGGCTATGCAGCTCATGAGCATGCACCACCAGCGAAATGCAAGTGTGGCGACTACGCGCACGTACCTCCCGTCCCCAGGGACGAAGTGGGCATCGACGACAAGCTCTCCGTTATCCAGTCCATTGTTTGGACTTTGCTCAGCGGACAAGGCGTCAACACCCTTCCTGCAGAACACGAAAGCGGAGCACATGATACCCAAGATTGAGGGGAGAAATTTGAGTTTTTCTAAGGCACACCGGCACGGGCACATTAGAGAAGCACAGGTAGGTATCCTATCATTGCGCCTATGCTCAGAACAGCTCTAGTTTGTTCCTTCAACAACAATGCATCATGTGTAAACGTACTTACCGGCTGTTGTCGTAGTTGCTTGATGGGCGAGCGGTCAGCCTCTGCTGCAACGCGAACCCCTGAGTGTAGCCAGACAGTCTACCTAGTACCAAAATTGCAAAGGCGAGGTTTAAGTTGGGGAGCATCGTGCAGCGGCAGTGGGAGCATGCCGAACGTACCATGGCACACGCCCGCTGATCTCACCTACATGCAAGCACGCCAACTTGAGCATCTCCCATAGGGGGTCCGTCGATCATCCCTAGGCCCTAACCGCATACCTCACCTAATACTCTACAGTAGAACCAATATTCTGCGTCGTCCCCCCAATCGGCGACCAACCCTCGCGCTGCACAGCAAAGCAGTGTTTGCTGCTGTACGCTGCGACCATGCTCGAGCCGACGATGGTATACGTCGCCCCTGCGGCCTCGCGTCGTGGCGGCGGTGGCGGCGGCGGTGGATTTGCGAATAGAACGGTCTGTTTTGCTGTGCTGCTGCTGCTGCTTGGTGCTGCTCGGTCGACGGCGGTTGCACCCGGAACAACGAGCTCGGGCAGCGGTGCCGCCGAGCCTGGCGAGGGAGAAATCGCTGGCGTCGTGGCGCAGGCGCTCGCGTCGAACAGTGACAAGGCCGCTGCTGTCCTCTCTCAGCTCGAATCGCTCCTGGCGTCGCTGGAGTCGTTCCTGGCGGAGTACGGCTTACCGTCCGCTTCCTTGGTATTCCCCGGGGTCGCTATCGCCATCTTCTTGCTGGTGTTGCTCGGGAAGGTCGGCATCGGCGGCGGGGGTGGCAGCGGGTCGTCAAAGAAACGTAAAGGTGTGGTGCTATTTCTCGGGCCCTGTGGCTCCGGGAAGACGGCCATGTGCTACCGGCTCTCCCACGGTGGAGAAACCGGCCTAGTGCCGACGGCAACCTCGATGGAGGCCTGCAGGTATCCCTGCAGCAGCGGCCGGCTATCCGAACTACTAGCTCGAAACGGCAATGGACCCTCGTCTTCTGCTCGGTCCGGGTCGCTGGTGGACTACCCGGGCCACGAGAGACTCAGGGGCGGGGTGGGCGAAGAGCTGCGCGGGGCCGACCGCGTCGTGTTCATGCTGGACGGGTCCTGCCTCGCGGCGCAGGTGGCGGCCGGCGCCGAGCTCCTTTACGACGTCCTCACCGACCCGTCGCTCGAGGGCTGCCAAGGACTCATGCTCGCGCTGAACAAGAGCGACCTCAAGGAGGCCAAGGCGTCTCGGGCCAAGACCCTGCTGCAGAAGGAGCTGGACAAGCTGAGAGGCACCCGCGGGATGCTTGGGACGCAGGGGGAGGAGGACGACATGCCGGTCGCGATGGCGTTGGGGAGGCCCGGGCAGCCCTTCAGCCTGGAGGTGGATTCGCCATGCGAGGTGGTTGTCGCTGGTTGTTCTGTGGCAAAGGAAGGGGGGCTGGACTCGGTGGTAGACTTCGTGCGCGCGTCGCTTGTGTAAGGCCAGCGTGCAGAGATAGGGAGGTGGCCTGTATGTACCGTGGTTGGTGAAGAGTTCTGAGTACTCGTGCCTGACGAAGTGGTGGTCGGGATTGCGGTGGAATTACTCCGTTTGCGACCGTTATTTTGGCCTGTAACGTGAATACCAGGCCGGCAGTCCTTCGCAAGAGTCAGCTTGGTCCATGGTGTTTTGAAAAACAGGTGGAACGGTAAATTGATAAATTGATTGATAAGTCAAACAGCACAGCAAAGGCCTCTCTCGCCATGCTGCGTATCACTCATTTGCTTCACAGCCGTGGGTGCACGAGCCGGTTGACGAGCTCCCTTTGTGTTTGCGCACTCTCGACTTCTTGTCGCAAATGTTACAAAAAAAAGTTGATTTCTTGTGTGCTGATCAATCGGTGGATACGAGATCGCACCGAGGCATGGGCGGGCGCACAGTTCTAGGACTTTTGCGTGGAAGACGCGATCCAAACGGGCCGTAAAAATCCGAATCACCGTTGCAGCGATGGATGACTTGACGAGCAAGAGAACAGCTTCTTCTAGACGTTCCAGATGAACACGACGTGCGAGGGTCAACGTGTTGCAAAACCATCGTCTTTCCAATCACAACGTGGACAAAACGGAACCACCAGCACCTACTGCGTTTCTATGGGTGTACCAAACTGACTTAACAACTTAGGGGTCGCGGGGCAAGGGTGCCAAGCCAAGGGTTTGAACTTGAGACAAACTACACAGCCGGTACAACCGCAACACACGTTGGTCATCACACCATACACACAGAAATTCATTTGTACAGCCACAACGTACATACATTCCACATTTGTACGGTATGTAGTTCGCCAGACCGGATCGGCGAGCCGCATAACCCTGACACCCAACTGCTGTATGGCAGCCCCTCCCAGTCCACTACTGCTGTCCCATGGCCCCCCAGTCCTAAAAAAATAATGCTTCTATCCCCCATGTATTCGCAGCGAATCCACGGGGTGGCGGGCATCTGGGGCAACAAATCCGCGCAACCGTGAAGGCAGCCGAATTCGCACATCCTTCGCAATGTTTGACACCGGCACCAATCTGCATGCCAGCAGAAGTGCCATTGGAGGAGACCCACCCGTGGCTCACAAATCCTATCTTGCGGCGGCTTTGCTTAGCCTCATAGGTTTGCCATGCACCTCGGCTCCACCCAGCTCCTCGAGCGCTTTCGCGGCATCGTTATGTTCGCGAAACTTGATGAACCTGGTGGTCGAGCGGAACCATGGCACATGACACACGCGCGCGCGTGTTGTGAGAATCAGGCCCGATTTCAGTCCGGGGTAGCGCCAAGTAAAGGGAGTAGAGTAGCATGAGGTTTACAAGGTGGTGGCCCGAAAGTGCTACCTAGTCAGCTTTAAATAGGATATATCCCGCGTTCCTGTACTGGTACGCCAGTCCAGCCAAAGGAGGCGACCAAAGCACCGACATTACCCCTCGACACGTTGCGCCCACGTCCCAACACAAAATCTCGTCTCTCATAAAGCAGAAACAAAGTAGGGCGTGCCCTCGCAACACGGAACATGGGCCGGTCATGGGGCCGACACTGGCCAGTGGTCTCACCCGAAGTTTTTGGATTCACGGTGGAAAACCCTGACTTGTATCGCCCCGTAGGGCTGGAACATATCGATCAGTCTCTTGCGGACCGACTCTTCCAGGTCTGATGTGGGCATCGGAGGTAGTCCCGCTGCGTGCAGGTCCACAAACGCGTCGTTGCTGTTGCTGCCGCGCCAATTCTCTGCCGTTCGCCTATTGGGCTCTTTGTCTCGTCCCCTTTTCATATGTATGACGGCGGACAACGGTTGTTACATCAAGCACAAGGGCGAGGAAAGGCACGAGACGATGTCAGCGGCGAGCCAAATAGGAGGAGGGCGTCTCGTCATCAAATCGTGGGATTAACACACCGTTCGTGCAACATCGAATCATAGTACAATGTGAAGCGTTAGATTGTCTTGCGCCGAGTGAGGTCGAATTGACGGCACCGAGCATGGTTCTGAAATTAAGCGAATAAAGATCTACAACCATTCGCACGTGCTGGTTCATTTCAAGGGGTTAACCGTCGGCAGCCGAGGAAACAGCCCATATTGCACCGAATCCCAGTAACCAAGATAGGACCAAAAGGTGTGCCTGATGAATGCGACAATAAACCTCCTTTGTAGACAATAAGCCTGCAGCACTCACGGCAGGCCAGGCATGGTGTCCTTGTGTCCCCACCAAATCTCATGCACGACAAGCCGCAGGTTGGTGTCGTAGTCGTCTCTAGTCATAACTTGAAGGACTAGCTCTTCACCGCTCGGGGGCACCTTCCTGTAAAACCAGCACGAGTCATAGCGACAAAAAAAAAAGTTGCACCACAAGCAGGCCATTCTCAGTGTGGCCACCGCTGCACGTTCGTCCTTGCGTACCGCCCCCTTGGTGCTTCGCATGCGGTGCGTATCGGCAGCATGCCTACCATGGACACCTTGCAAGCTTGCCGAGTTTCAGGCGAGGCATGACAGCCGCGTTGTTCGTCATGAGAACCCACCTTGCGCCGACAACCGTTCACCATGCTGAAGCAAGACAAACAAAAAAAGAAGACGAACACGCATACCCCGGTCTTCATCGAAGCCTGTAGAAGCTTCGACCGCGATAGTTTCGCCAATGATAATACGGTAGAACTTCCTCTCAGCAACACAGCGATGGAGGTTTATAATAAGCTCCGCGGCTCTCCATCAGTAGTACCGGAGAAACGGCTCGTTGGTGCTGTCGGGGTCGGATGTTCTCTTTGTTCGTTTTCTGTGTGGTTCTTGGCCAAAGAAAGGGACCATAAGCAGCAAGATCCCTAAAAAATACACCAAGATACCCTATCACGCCAAAATGGGGTGCTTCTGAAGCACCAACAACTACAACTCACGTTCTGTGGGCAAAAGTTGCGCAGTATTTACCGTCCACAGCGACATGGAATCCCGCCGCGTCAATCTGAACCGCAACGTTGATAGAAACGTTGAACACCTCTGGCCATCTTGTGGAGAGCATGTGCTTTTCCTGGGTGCGCAACGCGCACGAAAAACGGAGCCGGGAACGGGCGTAACCACAGTCTTAGCAGACCCTAATCCAGTGATTTCTATCAGGTAGAACAAACAGTTTACTCAAAAATGTTTTTTTTCTTCTTGTCTCTTGCAGTTCGCACTGCTATTGAACGTGTCGAACTCCATAGGTGGTTGATTGTTTTTTTCAGCATCAACACAAGAAAATACGATCACAACACAAAAAATCAAACGAAATAAGTAACGTTTAGCAGCGGAGACAATACAGAGTGTCGCCAACAAGGCACAAAGCGTGCAGTGTCGTTGTTAGCGGAAGCGACGGCGTTCAGGAAACCCGTACGCGAGGCGGAACACGGGCTGGTATCTCCGGCGCACGAACGGCATCTCACCAAGCGCATGAACTATGGACGTCCTTGTTGCAACATGGTTTTACGTGCGCAACGCGATGACAGAGCAAACCGTGATGTTCCAACGCCATATACAAAAGAGCATTATTGTAGTACCTGCTGCCCCCAGATGTTACCCTCCCGGTTGTTCATCGCCACGAATCTCCGGCGGGGGTTGAAATGGAACAAGATCTCCTCGAAGTCTTTGTGGTCCTTGGGACAGATGTTGATGGCCCACGACGTGCTGTGCGCCGGAATCGTCGCGCGCATGACCAACGTCTCGTGGAACTGTTTCTTCGCGACGCCATCGGCACCGCTGTTGCTGTCGGCGATACCGAAGTTCTTGAGCAGCCGAACGAGCGGGTCTAGCGGCTCGTAGACACGCTCTCCGTCCTTTTCGATTTCTGCGAAGGTCCGGTACTCGTCTCTCAGCAGTAGGCCAGAGGCCGGGTACTGGGAGGGAAAGATAAACGCGAGAAGCATATGTATATAGGTACTCGAGCGGGGTACAGATAGATCAAGGAATAGCGCTGAAGGCATTCAAGAAAAGAGGGAGTGAAAGGTACTGCCACGGAAGGGATCACTTTGTATTGTCCCTGGACTCCTCCAACCGAAAACGGCGTTCCTCCGGATCTGCCACACGCTGCTGTAGTGCCCAATCCACAGCAGTGCAAAACCGGCAACAGCCCGGGGCGCACCCCTTGCCTTAATGGGATCCAGTCGGGGATTAGAAGACGGGGTCCCGGTAGCCTTGGTGATCTTGGCCTTCCTCAGCACGCCCGCCGCCCCGGAGGACGCCCCGGATCCGAACCTGGCGGCGGCCTTCCTTTTCTTCTCCAAGATCATCTTCGCCCTGCTCACAGCATCCGTCGGTGCAGGCCCGGGCTTCTCCTCGGCCTGCGGCACCGTCGCTGCGGCTATCCCTGGCTTTCCATCTCCGGCGGCGGCAGCGGCAGCGGTAGCAACAGGGGTCCCTTTGGAGAGGGGAGGAGAGGCCTTGGGCACCGGTGGGCTCGGGGAGCGCCTGGACGTCGTCGGCTGCTGCTGCAGCTTCTGGTTGTTCGATGCTGCTGGAGACGCCGCTGTTGCGGTTGTGGTGCTCGTGCTGCTGCTGCACCGTCGCAAGACCTTGAGGAGATATTCTTCCTCGGGAGTGAGCACATCAGCGGCGAGATCTTCTGCCGCCTGCGTTCGTTATGATGTAGCGGCGCAGGGGAAGTCACTTGAGTTTACAGTACTTCCAAAACGAGGGGCAATGCCTTCGGGCTACTGACTTGTCTACAGCGCTATTGGCCATCTGGTGTCAATCGCCGGTAGGAGGAAGACTGTCGATAAACAAGGACGCATGTTGAGACTGTTCGAAATACGTGTGCTAACTCGCTAACAACGCTCCACCTCTCGTGCAGTTCTTTTTCATAACCAGAACACAGTCCACGAGCGTTTTCTGAGGGTTTCTGCGCCTATGCCGACCTGTACGTACATAATACGTCATGCCCATAGACGAACAAGGTCATCCGGTGCAGAGCCGCGCTCCCGCGCCCATCGAAGGAAGTATACAGCCATCGATTGTTTTTCAGAGTATTCTACAGTAACGCTGTACGCATCGACCTCGTACGATGTTCTGCAACTCTCTTGCCAAACCTCATCGTAACTTATACCAACAAACGCATAGACACGACCACGGCGATCGCATAGACAGGCCATAACCAATTTTTTCTGTTTTACTGTACTCTCTGAACCGTCTGCAGGTCGGCCAACACTGCTACGGCCACCACCCTTACCAAGAAACTGAAGGGGGAGGGATAATCGAACTTCACGACCTCATCATGCCCCAAGTGCCCAACATAGCGCCCCCCCGTCATTGGCTGTGCGCGATCGTGGCATGGGCACTGATCGCACGTGGTATTTGACGCCACGTCTGAACAAGAGCCTCTCGTTTCTTAGTCTTCATTCAGTAAAAAAGACCGTTGTTGCTTCCACCACTGCATCATTCTTTGCCCACTTTTTCTTCCCTTTCATGGCTCCAGGCTGTGGTGTAACTCTTTTCGAAATACTGCTGTATCTAAAGAGTGATCGTCTATATAGTACCAACACGATTGCCATGTCACTGTTGCGTATATATCTTCTTCTTTGTTTGGTGGTTCTGTCTAACACTAAGTGTACTTAGTATTAGACATAGCCACCAAAGACGAAGATATGGACGCAACAGCGAAATGGCAATGGTGTTGGTACTCGACGATCACTATTTACATACAGCAATTCGAATAGAGACACAGCACGATAATGGAGCCACGAGTAACGCAAAAATATCCTGCATTTCCTTTGAAGATCAATGACACGTTTTTTCCTAATCCTACGTTCTTTCGGTTTCGACGTGAAGCCTGCGCAAATATCCTGCAGTGTTTTTTCAAGTCCACGTACAGTTTTCCTTCTAAACTGATGTAGAACTGTGGTAGTACTTTGCCTACACTTTGTTTTCTTACTTGCGCGTGTGACACAAATAAATTCATCTCTTCCACAGATAAAAGAGTATTTTTCGACTTTTTTGACTTCGAGGGGGAGCCGGCGACCGACGTTAATCCCCCTATGTAAGACTGCGGTACTACTCTGTGCTGCTGTATACTGGTACAGGTTATGTACTACTTTCTTTTTGGTTCCGAATCAGCTGTGTGAGCTGTTGAGCTTGGAAACGTCACACCGCAGCTGCCAGCCAGCTGTTGGTCCTGCTGCCTGCTTTTACAGTAGTTTCATCTTGCATCATCTTGCATCATCTTGCATCATCACCCCTCGATGACACTGCTGTGCTCTCATGAGCCCACTCCGGAGGGACTACTTGAATACAAGAGATGTTGTCGTTATTAGCATCAGCTGGTACCACCGATAAGAAATCAGTGGTGGAGTTGGCAGATGTCTTCAAAATAAAGGAAATGCCTGCATATCTCACTCCAACATCAGCACGAATCTACCATTGTACAATAACCGTCCGCAGATATCGCTTGTGTACAACGGTAGCTCAGATGGTAGCCCTTGTGATGCGCCGCCGATTAGAGGTCCGTGATTTTCCAAACGATCCTTTCATAATCGAGATCGGTGAGCTACAAGAGCAAGATACTGAAGCTACTGTGCCGTCCGATTTTCGAACGCTTCAAGCACATTCTCCTTCGACCCGACCTACATGGTGACCCCAGGCATTCAACTTGACTACGGCGACGACTAAGATGTGTGAGGAAAGAGCTGCGCTGAAGTTCGCGATCCCACGCACTCGCATATGCGCTGATTCTCGCGGTCATGATGCATGCCACCGCTGTGTGCTTGAAGCGTTCGAAAACCGGACTGCACAGCAGCTCCTGCTTGTAGCTCAACGATCTCCATGATAGAAGGACCCTTTGAAATCGCGGACCCGTAGTCGGTAGTGTATCACTAGGACTACAATCTGGGCTAGTAACGTTGTACACAAGGGATATCTGCGGAAGGTTGTGGTACGGGAGTTAAGAGTTTGGAAAACCAAGATATGGAGGCATTCCTGTCATTTTGAAGAAGGGATCTGCCAACTCTACCGCGCCACTAAAAAATAAGCCCACAGCAGTGCAGCCGGTTTTGCTCCCACTCTCTACGAAGACTCCAATACATCCCCTTCGAACGGGTAGTAGCTGTAGCTTGTCTGTGATACTGCTAACTATACGCCTGTACTATGGATGGTTTCTAAAAGCAACACTCGAGCACCTTTGCTGACTATACTACAGCAAAGTGTCCTGAAACGGCGGTACTCCATAGTCCAACATCACAGCCCCCCCCGCCTCCACCGCTGACCATCGAAGCCGCGGGACAGAAATACGCCCAGACGACCGAGTTCCGGTACCTCGGTGGCCTCGTCAACGAACATGGCGACCTCACCCCGGAGATCAGCTAGAGGAGCAGAGGAGCGTGGGCGTGCCTCAGGCGACATGGCCAGGAGCTCTTCGACAGACCGAAAGCGCCATTCCGACTCAAGATCCGCCTCCTCCAGGCGGAGGCGATGGAGGCACTGCTGTACGGCTGCATGACATGGTCACCACTCAGCGGCCACTATCAGATGCTGCGGTCGACACACCACCGACTGCTCCTTCGAGTTATCGGGTACAAGCGCAAGAAAGACACCTACCGGCAGCTCTCTTACGCCCAGACGCTGAAGAGGGTCGAATGCCAGAGCGTTGAAGCCACGATCCGACAACGACGCCTACTGTTCGCGGGAGCACTGGCAAGGCAGCCGGACGGGCGACTCCCGAAACGACTGATGCTCGGCGAGCTGGCGGGGGGGGAGAAGCCACGTAGGGGGGGACACGAACAGAACTGGCCGAAGTGTGTGCTCGACGACCTGAAGGCATTCGGGGCCGACCACGGATCTACGAAAACCAATCCATGTTGTCTCGGAATTCCCGTACCGAAAGACGCGGCACCGAAGTTAAGGTGGACGGAAGCCGCGAAGGTGGAGGGGGGAGTACCCTGGCATGCGGCGGTGCTGCAGGGAGCTGAGAGGTTCATGACCTCCTGGCACGAGAAGGAAGAAGAGGCCAGCCGACAACGAGCGCTCAAACGAAACCACAAGCCAACAACCAATGGGGCGGGAGGGGGGCAGGAGACGGACGAGACGGCGAGGGAAGAAAGGAAACGAGAAGAGACGGACCGAGTGGCACGATACGTGCCGGATTGAATTTCTTTTAGCCAATTCCCCCCCCCCCAACGCTGCACCATTGCACCAACCCCCCAGTAGTGATGACGTACCATTACAATGTATCGCTGGTTGGTGGCCATGTTTGCGTGTTTGCTTGTTCGTTAGTGGTCTCTCCACCGTGTGCCTGTTTCTGCGTCTTATTTCTTGTTATTTTCGGCCTGGTCCCTTTTTGTCCTCGCTCTTTTTCAATTTATTTTCATTTTTATTTTCTCTTCTTCTTACTGTTTCCATTTTTTATTTTTTCTCTTTTCTCTTTTTCTCTCTTTTTTCTCTCTTTTTCTGTGCCAGATGGCCTTGTCTCTGCTTGCGTTGTGAAGTACCAAGATTGAACCAAGGGGGTGTACCTCTTTCTCTCCAGCCCATGATAGATAGTGACTCCTAGTCTCAGTTGATACCTCGCATAGCGCGCAGAGGGAGTGGAGGATTCCAGAATATCTGTAGTTGATTTCTATTGACTTGCGGACCCCTGGGGCCAGTTTATTGGAGTGTACCTTTTTAGTGTAAGTTCACCCGTGACCACGGGAATCGACCGCGTCGAGTGCTGGATCAGTACAGACATACGAAGGTACTGGGTAGAGAGAGATCGGAACGGTTTTTAATGTGAAGACAACAACAACAACAACAACAACAACAACAACAACAATAGTCCAAAAGACGCACCGGTTTTCTGCGAGTCGGCCGCTTGAGCCTCACAGATGGTGGGGGAAGCTCCACGAGATCATCGTTCGAGCCCGTCTTCCTTCTGCTCACCCTCCCAGTGGCCGCCATCGAGACAGGAAGCGCAGAGCTCAGTGCAGTCCAATGGAACCAGCTCTCTCAACTTGGTATTATAAAGGACCCGCTACTCGCACCTGGGGGCACCGTGTGTCGTAACCTTTCTGGGGTACCTCGTACGTGGGCAAACAGACAGAGAGACAGAGCACCGTGCCGGCGGGCAACAGAGCAGACAGAGCAAGCGAGAGAGACACACAGAGCGGCACAAAATTCACGAGCATCCTAAGCAAAGAAATAGCGTATCCGTCGAAGAGGGTGAGCGAAGCAAGGTCGGGCCTGTATTACGGAACGCAGCGATATGGAGGACACGCAGAAGGCCGTTACCGCAGCGGACGAGGCAAAACTGCTGTGAGTGTCGTGGCTCGTTGTGCATACGCTCTGCTTCGTTCAGCTTGTCAATTGGGTGTCGAGGCTGAGTGGGAAAAAACACTGCTTGTTAGTGGCACTGAGCTTCACGCAATCGGTACCGCTGTCGTTTTCCCCTGCTTCCCGCATTTTATGAGCGTTCGCGCACTCGCTCTCTTTTCTCCCGCCAAAAAAGAATCTAATTGCGCCGCACCGAATGAGCCTGATGACGTGTCGACGTGTCTCTCTCCTCTCTTCCACCTCCTTCTCTACGGCTGTGTCCTCGTTGCCCTCCCTCTCTTTATTCATCTCTGTTTCTCTGATGGGCACGGGCAAAGGGATACCAAATGTAGGGCTACTGCGGTACATCCTGATAGTAAATCGCTTGTTTCATTGTCTACTACACGTAGGCCTTCCCCCGCCGGCCATCGCCGAAAACGCCGATTTCTGAAAAATATCGCCGAAACACAGCAGTAAAAATAATAAATAATCGCCGAAAAAAAACAATGCCGATTCTGAAGGGGACTCCGCCGAATCGAAAATAGAGGTCGCCGATTGTCGCTGATTAAATTCACGGTCCCCCCTGTACCTCCTCCGTACGCTCTACACACACGTGTTGCCCCCTATCCCCTATGGAAAAATTACCATATATATTTTTTGTGCAGACATTACAAATCCTGGAATCACATCCCCTGGCGGTCCCTTCGCATAGAGTTTTTGAGTTATTCTGCTATACCTCTCGCTGTAGTGCTGATCCCTAATCGTGCACATCCGATATGCCTTGCCCACACATAGAGACGCACACACCCCAACTTCTGTCAGGTTTGGTTGGGGTTAGGTCTTCAGCAAACGGCGTTGAAAGTCCGGTGCGTGCTTCCATGGCTTGGATTTCTATCATGTTTCGGAGGTAGACGCATGATCGTTCTGGAAGCCACTTCTGCTGACTACTGGAGTTTAGACTTGAATTTGGGCCGACTTTCGCAGGCCAACCGCGGACGCTGTAGTGGAGATCCCTAATCGTGCACATCATGGATTCGTTCTATGGTCTTTTATCTCTACGATAGGCCAAGTATCGGCCGAATCGGGGGACCGTAGTGTTTCAGCAAACCTCGGTGAAAGTTGGCTCCCGAGAGCTGAAAAGGTTGCGCGCAACAGCAGAAAGCTGGTTCAACTCAGATGTGACCGTGAGGCATTTCTCGCGTCCAAAGAAAAATCAAAGAGTGAAAACAGCTTTCCGGTGGAGGGTATGACCTGCTTGAGGTGCCCGTGTACTTTGGTGCCACGCCGAGGTCTGTGTGAGGAGCACGAGGTGGTGAAAGAACTGGGCTCAGCCTTGTCCAATCTGGGGAGGGGATGAAACAAAATTGACCCCGCTGAAACCTGCGGCGTGATTTTTCGTCCGTACTTTTTTTCAATTTCCTATAGGCGGCAACACGTGTGTACACAGCTGCACAGCTGCACACAGCTGAACGGCGGTGCTATGTCGTCGCCTCTTATTAGCGGCATGGAACCAACCCTACTCTAAAAGTAGGTGGGATAATAGCAGTAAAAGCGATTCGGACAATGAGGTGCAATTTGTCCGCCAAAAGACAAAAAGTGCAACAACAGGGGGGGGGCATCAGGGTCCAAAATAGCTCAGCAAAGGAGGGTGGCGCCGCAGATGCCAACAACGGCGACGGTAGCGACGAAAGCGATGACAGCGATGAAGACAGCGACTGAAGACCTACCTGTGTTTCGTAAATTTAATGTAGATGTATTTTTTGTGTCGTGGGTCGTAGGGGTAAAAGTTTTTTTTTGCCCTCAAGTAGCGCGTCATCCTATCCTATTTCAGAAGATTTTTCGATGTTGAGTGAAAGTTCGGAAAATTGCATGTTGTCTGTAGGAAAGAAATAAAAGGGCACATTACTACTTCGCCTATCGCCGACAGGTGAACTCTGCAGCAGTCCAACAGTCAACAGCCTCGCGACCCGCTCGTTTGTGTGTACTAGAAGTACATACTTGTATATGCGTCGCGAAAGTAACATACTGAATCGCCGAACGTCGCCAAAAAAGTTTTTTTTTCCATCAATAAAATTTGCCGAAAAAAAATCGTGAAACGCCGAAATACAAAAAAAAAGGCCTCTCCGAAAACGCTACTCCCCCATTCCACCGGAGAGGGAAGAGATCATGCCCGAGCAGACCACACAAACATAGCATAACAACATGCTGTTTGATGTTGTGTGATGCTGCGCTGGGTCAGCTGTAGTTCCTTGCGGCGTTATTTTTGTTGGGTTTACAAGGCGCGCCTCGGGAGTGGGCTCATCAGATCATGGTAGTAGTATCACCGAGGTGATGCAAGATGAAAGCAAAGCATGTGTTGGTGTGAGTCAGCTGCCAGCTGCCATCAGTGACGTTTCCCAAGCTCGAACAGCTCACACAGCTGACGACCTATTTTCCTGATGCTTTCGACTCCAAGAGCCCAGCAAACGAACGACGGATTCAAAAAACAAGAGAGGAGTACGAATGTTCTCCCGTGCTACCCCGCATATTACTTGGATACACATACAATACCCCGACAATCGCTTGTTTCTTCTGATGTAATCCCATAAGGGTGCCACCGATAGAACATCCGACGGACCAATTACCCAACACCTTCCTTCTGCACCTTCCCAGCGTAACATACACAAGACGGCTACCGAACTGTCTTGTTGAGCCTGTTACCCACAGGGGAGATATCGCTGTGTGCTGCTCGGGAAACCATGGGAAATACAGGTAGCTTTCTCTGACGCTATGAATTCATTCCTATTTTATCTTAGACTCTTTTCTTAGATAGAGATGGATTCGTTGGGTCATCTTCAGAAAAAAAAAAAACTATGGATTCATTGCTACTTTATCTTAAACTCTTTTCTTCGATAGAGATGAATTCGTTGGGTCATAGTGATGAAATAAAAAAAATAATACTTCATTGTAGTGCACCTCGGGAATTCCCGGGGGGGGTTCCCCCGCCGTGGTGGGTTCTCCCGGTACTGTCGGTGATTACCGCCACGTATCGGTGGTACGTACCGGGAACCGCCGAAGACCGTACCGCCGAAAAACGGAATACCGCCTCCCGTCGAAAAAGTACCGGCACATTGCAGTACCGCCGAAAAGTACCGACGCAGTACCGCGAAAAGGACGAGCTGATCGATTAATGTTAGCTTACACGCTTCACGAATGTCCATGAGGCTGCTCAATTTGACCATAGGTATGCATAGCAGGTGAACTCACGAAATCATAGGGGGAATTATGCTCTTAACGGTACATTACAAAAGGCCCATGCCATAAAGAAAAGAGGTTCGCCGGTTGATGGGGCGCCGAAGGGCACCGAATGTAGTTTGGCATCGCCTTCAGTTTGATATTTTGGTCTTCCCGCGACCGCCGAAGGCGATACCGCCAGGTAATACCGCCTTCTTTTGGTGGTACCGCCATATTTCATTTCTGCCAGCAAAATACCGCCGGGAACCGCAGAAGGCGGTACCGCCATAGTTCACAACTGCCAGAAAAATTCCGACATATTTGGTAGTACCGGGAGCCGCCAAAGCCGGTACCGGGAGCCGCCGAAAAGAGTACGGCCAAATTGAAATACCACCCCGCCGGCATCCGCCTAAAAACACGGTACCGAGGTGTACCCTGGAAAATTTTACAAATCTGTGTACAGCAGTATGCATAGTGTTACATTCTCCAAATTGTACCCTTGAAGCATGGCAAAAAAGGATGGTGGAGTGTTGATTGACTTTGATGGGTCGTCGAGGATACGATCAAGAGTTCTAATCCTAACGGCACTCTTTCTTTTTCCAATCTGTGTAGGCCTTTTTTTTTTCTCTCTGGCTTGCGTTTGTTTTCCCACTTGTTTTTTCTTCCCGCTGTTGTTCTCGTCTACAAAATGCATGTATGCATACCTGTTGTCTGGTTCGAGAATATTTTCACAAAATAGAAATGGTGGACGTGCTTGATTTTCTTTTTGGGTATTTTTTTATTGATCAGTTTTGGGGACGCAGGGTATACAGAGGTATGCACGGCCATCGGTTCATGCCCGCTAAAAGAATCCGGCCTATCTCGTTACCCTCTTGTTGAGTGTTGACGTCCAGAATAAATGGGCCAACGCACGTCGAAAAATTGACAAGGCTTGTCCGCTCTATTTGTCCCGCACTAGGACTGCAATTTTTTTCGTTGACCAGCCGATTGATGTAGCACGGTCGATCCAAACTATAAAGGAACACACACAACAGGCGAAAATTCCACTATGAAAACTGTCTCGAATTCATCACGGTTCTCTTTCTTTCTTTCTTCCTTCGTGTGTCGTGGTGCTTCGTCGAGCAGCGCCGCTGCGTCTGCCCGTGGTGCTGTTGAGGAAGCAACCAGATCTCCCAGCAAGAGGAAGATATCTGAGGACCTCGAGAGCACGCCTTCGCCGCACAAAGCCGGCGTCCAGAGACACATCGCCATGCCCAAGCCGATGAAGCTGTGATTATTTGTTTGGCGGTCACCCGATCATTTTCTCGGCACCTTACCTAGAAAACGCAAGGGCATTCTTAAAATGTGAAGAACGTAAATACGAACTGTAGATGAAGGACATGTGCTTGTGAGCATCGTTAGTGTAGCTCCAGGCTAGATCGAGTTTTGGCAACACCCCTCCTCCAAAAGCATTGCTCCAGGACAGGGGCGAGTGGGATGAGCGGGGCGAGTGGGAAGAGCCACAACGCAAGTGTAATTTGAAGCCTGCACACCGGGCAGTGTCAGGAAGCAGTTTTTTTGGTGGAAGGATCCATGGTGTAGATGTCTTGTTCCAGCGTTGTGCCTTTTGTAAGTGGGCTTGACGTCTCGTGTGTACTGTTGTTAATTGATGGTTTCCATTTTGGGGCGCGCAACTCCTGGATTGCTTGCGCTGCTCTCGCGTACAAGACGTATTTTCCTGTAAAGAGGAGCAGACACGACACGTGTGGGGTATGTAGATAATGCAGTACAGGTTCGTATGTTCGTAGATGCCCTTCCTTCTTCAATTGAATCGAATTTTTCGGAGGACGTGATTGTCAAGCGGGGAACTCGCGGAAGGTGTTGTTGCCAACGCCTATGAGCCTCGTGCACCAATGCCCTATGCACCGCTAAGGCTTGACTTCTTTCTTACAATCATGCTGCCGTTGAGAAACGGGATGGTCTCGTTTATTCTTCGCAGGAAAAACGAGCATTTCGACGCAAAACTCGCGGTCGCCCAACGCGCACCTCTGTGTGTGGCGTAGCACATCAACCAGGAAATCTGACCAGATGTCGTTGGTTTCATGTAGAAAAGGGCATTTTGGTGTCGTCAATGTATTGGAACTGTCGTGTGCGATAGTCAATGTTTTGGGGTTGCCGTGTGCGATATTGGGAACCCGTGTCTCTTCCTCCCCCATCCCCCACCAAGTACAGCATCAGCGCCCTTCGTAGTACAGTCATGCGCCACCTGAGCGCTACACATTCGCGGGTAGATGCAGTGAAAAAGCAAACGTGTCTAACGAACGCATTCCTTCGGTTGTACTGTCCACTCGAGCTAGCAATATGGAAACACCCTCGCCACAGCTGCCACCTATCTTTTCCCCCGTTTGAACACTCCGAACAAACGGGCAAGGCCTCTATTTATTACGTCTCTATGACATTGCTGCTCTCGGGCAGCCAGCACCCGGTCGTAGCCCGCTCTCCTTAAAAGCTGGTGCATAATTTAGCTAGCGACGACGCTTTCGCTTGTTCCATTTCTGTTTCTTTTTGCCGGGGGCGGGCGAACCGTTACTGTCCTTTGCTGCGGCGGAAGGATCCGCCTTGGGAACGATAACAAACAGCCCGAGGGACAGAAACAGCAATAGTGAATCAAGACACGCACGTCAGCGACATCGCAAACACTCTCAACCGACGGCCGTTTACGCGTAGTTTCAGTTCCTCTACGGTCAATGATAACGGTACACCTGAGAGGCGGGGTCGATACACAAGCCGCTGCGGTTACACGCACGCAGTCACCGGTCGGACGTGACAACGCGCTGACCGAGAACAACACACCTACGAGTATGCCGACCTCCCCCAAGGACGTGTAACTTGCACGTTGTCGCCGCCAGACTACACTGCAACGCCCGCACGCGCAGGCTCCCGGCAAAATTTCGATCCGGCACGACCGCTCCCTGGACGGCCCCGAAAACAACAAAAGACGGTACGCTAGGCACATCCCCCAACAGGACCTACCACTTCTCCGTTTGGCGAAGCTTTGAGCAGCCTCATGAGCATCTCTCTGTTGTGGAACACCCCATCGGCGGTGTCAAGAAGTGAGTTGAACCTGTCTCCTCTAACCTAGAAGCCGCGCGTTACGCAAGCACCACGCAAGAGGAAAAAGACGATCGGCGTGCTTCATTGCGGGCCTGGCCATTGCGATGGGTGCTTGTCTCGGATAAGACTTGTAGACATACGGAACTACGCGAAGGCTGTGCCAACCGAAGTTTGATGAAAAACGAACGCACGATGTACTGGCATCACCGACAACTGATTCATTGGAAAGTCGTCAGAAAACATATAATGATGATCCACGATCGACTACGACGACGGCGCCAAACACATGACCGACCCTCCCTCTCCGCCCAAGCCGCCACCCCGGCAGCTATCACAGGTCTTGGACTCGCGATCTCACCTTGAACGTCAAGTATACCGCCTTGGGCTTTGTGCGTGAAACCACCGTCCCGCCGAGCCTGACCAACCGCGGCATCCTCTCCGCCTGAGGAACGCCCAGAGCATTGGATCAAACGTTGTGTTTTTGGTTTCACGAAAGGAGATCTAGGTGGAGGACAAGTCACAACTTTGACATCAGACAAAATGGAGAGAGTGAAACTAGAAAGATGCGTAAAATCGGCCCTTGTTGCGCCGTCAAACAGAACAGCTCAATTATTCTATGTTTAGCTCAACTAATAGCCCCATTTCCCGGCATTGCCCCTCCTTCATGAATACACGGGACAAAGATCAGATTGGACAGCACAGCAACACAGTATCACAATCAGCAACGCGGAGTCTTCTCGGGCAGCGGCAGCATTTTCACGAGAAACAGCGGGGCCGTTGTCAGGATGTTTTCACCCACGTTTGCTCACCCCAAAGAAATTGTGCGTCCCGATGGAAAGTAATCTTAGCTCCGGCAGATATGAGATCTGGCTGACCCAATGCTGCGTGGGGCAACAAAGCGGGTTGTTCGGCGAGGGGGAGTCGGGACAACATGAATAAGTGCACGCGTACCGCAACCACCACGCCCAAGTGCACGATGGATGTCATCATTCTAGCGCGACATGCCGTGGTCCTTGTGTTTTCAAGCATCTCCGTATGCTATTGCAGGCAGGAAACCAACCTCGGGCTTCCGCCACCAACTGGATACTCACATCCCAAAGATCAACCATATTTACTGCCAATAGCTCGCCAGAGAGGGTTGTGCGCCCGCAACACTTTTCGTCAATTTTATCGAGTACTTCAACTCGACCAGGCTCCAAGCGCACGAACAACAACAGAAACATGACAATCAGATCCGCGCCGCGCACCCTGGAGCCCCAGCAAGCGTCGGGGAAGAAGCCATACCCATGACATCGGTCAAAACCGGCTTTGGGCTTCCATAGCGGTTGCCACGCGCACGTAGCAAGTGTCACTCACCCTAGCGAATGTATGAGTAGCAGCGGTCATGATGGCCGTGAAGCCAAGTCCCAGGTATCTAGGTGTGGAAAAGACAGAAAGCGAGGGGTGGACGGGGCGAGAGAGAGGAGCACCCCACAGGAAAAAAAAAAGGCACGGGAGTGGATAGCTTAAGGAGTACTACGTTCAGGATCCACGAGATATTTCGGCCATAAGCAAGGCAGTGTAGCGCGGGCATCACACACCACTCCATCACCACATTTCCACAAACACTAATGGGTACCTATGCGGACCCCCTTTCAGGCGTCTGGCCGGTACGGCACGTCGGCTACCTCATTTATCCTGCTCGAATTGGTCGGGACAGCTCTAACGCGTGATCCCACGAGAAAAAAGACGATTCAACCAGCCACACTCCAACGTCCAAGACCATTGACGCACGCGCTTAGCGCAAAGGACCCAGTGCGTCACGACGTTGCGTCGTCACCGCCGCCGATCATGCACACCTACAGAACGCATGCTACAGCTCATAACGCCTACAGAAAAATGTGCTACGAGCTTACCCCCACGGTTCCCAAGTTGTGGTTGGAAGGTGAGGCTCCAGGACGCCGACGTAGAACGACCAGTAGAGGCCGTTTACCACCGTTACGGAGCTCGATATTCTAACGTTCCTCTGTGAGACACAAGAGGGCAGAGAGAGGGTGGGGACTCGGCGAGTGCAGTCTCTGATTCGTTGGGTCGCGTTGGTGCGCATGCCTATTGTATACATCTCAGGACCTTGTAGTTGGTCCGAAGAGCTTAACTAGGGCGGGAGCCGAGAGAAGCAGAAGTGGCACATTTCCGTTGAGGATATCAACGACTACTCAGCGCTCGTTTTGAGTTAAAATTTTGGATCCTGTTCAAGCTATAGACTACATAGTCGTATACAACGCGTAAATCATCCAGGGCTCTCGATAATCGTTCCAGCACTCTTTGCATGAGAGACGCTGCCCGCCAAAAGCGGGCTATCGTTAGGGTCTCTCGGTGGGTGCATGCGGTTCCAGTCACCCGCCAGCGAGTGGAGGACAGTTTGAAACACATGACTGACAGCCTTAACCTCATTCCCTTGAGTTCCGCCACGGAGTAGCCCTCCAGGAACGGTAAGTATTTCCTCTGTAGACACGAGGCTTGTGGCGCACACCCGCTCAAACAACAAGGCCTCGTTTCAAAAGCTGTCAACAGCCGACGTGCCGAAAATCAAGCGATAGTCTATACAAGCAGCCGATGAGACACTCAATGAACACAATTGGTACACTAATATCTTGAGCAAGTTTTGAGCTCAAGTTCGAATACTTTCAACCCCAAAGTCCAAACATTTCCTCGATTTGCCAAAGGAAAACACTGAACCTTAACCTTTTGAGATACCGACCTTTTGGGCGGCAGGTGGTGTCTACAGGCTACAGCAGTATACCGGGCTACCGCAGGTGACATCACACAAGATACCATCCCCCTGGACCGATTTTCAAAGCTCTATTACGCCACAGCACAGGGAGTGCCGGTGCCGAACAAGGAGGAATGACCACCGGCCGATCGAGAGCTTTTCGATAACGTTTCGTTCGATTCATGCATCATCTTCATGGTGGAGTAGTAGTCGAGAGTTTGAAATCGGTCCATGGAGCGTGGCATCTAACGCCACCAACGGTGTGCATTACTCATCCAGACCGCGCGCGATCGCCCCTGCAAGAAATTGACTTGCGCTACGGCTTGGTCCGCGGTTTTGTGCAGACATGGTACATGGCACCACAGCAGCCACACCGCTGCCGATTCTGAAGCCCGATAGGGATTCAGTTTCTGTCGCGGAAAGTCTCGTTCGATTTTGACCCCACCAAAAAGTGACCCCACTCTCTGCATTTTCACTTGGTTGTAGAGCAGGAGATCTCCGGCCTCTTCTCTACAAGAAAGTTGCTTTCTTCGGTCGATGTTTCTCGAGATTCCACCGACAGGATTTCGTGTGGGTTGGAAGAGGTGTCCCTCCTGGCCCGTTCCTCCCCTCCTGCGAGTTTGGTGCTAACGCTTGTGTCAGCTTGTGAGAACGCGTCCGTTGTTGTATGTCATATTCGTAGATCTCCCCCGTGCGCGAACAACCGAACCACCCCTCCCTCCACATTACCCCCAGTTTTACCCCCACTGGTCGCAAGTACAGCCGCACCCACGACGGGAAGGATGCACGTCCACGGTTCGTACAGAATCATGCACGAAAGTCGACGACTTAGGACACAGCCCTGTCAACAATGCCTGAAAGATGCCTCAAACTTGCGCCGATAACCACTGCTGTGTCTGACAAGGCAAGGCTGTGCTCGAAGGCAGAGCACATCTCACCAGCACTCAACCTCATCAGGATATTGTGTGTACAATATTTCTGTTTCTCCTCCCAGACTGACTACGGAGTACAGCAGTATACAGTAGTCTGTGGACCAATGACAGAAGTCAGCATATTCTATTGTCTCTTCCAGCTCTTCCAGACTGATTGTGCTGATTGTGACTAGTCACCATGTCAGTCTCACCATCTACTGGAGTGGCACGAAAGTCTCTTCTCAAAACTTCAACATACATACATGTACATGAACCCGATAGGCACATGAAACGTTCTCCTCTTGCCCCTAGTATACAGGCCACACATATCGCAAGAGGTCAACTTCATCAGGATGTGCACCAACCTGCTTGCAGAACTACTGCTGTACTGCTGTCGTGAGGTTGCACAAATTTATTTTTGGTCTCCCAGACTGACTTGAGTACCACAGAGTAGTCGGCACACAGTGGCATCGAATCTCTTGTCAGGGCGTGTCTTCCCTGCACTTCTCTGGACAGGATCTATGGTGGTACTACATGTATTTGTACGGCATACATACGCAGCCAATTGCCAACCATGGGACTTCTAAAGATGCGCAATTCGACTGCCAACTGCCAACTATTGGCCTTCTATAGATAGATACGCAATTCGACTGCCAACCATGGTGGGTGTACAGGTCATACGCCTTGACTTCCCGACTGTCTTGTCGCACACACCCAAGACTGCAGGGATCATGTACGCCCGGATTGCGCCTTCGCGGCTCTCCTTTTCCTGTTCGCGTTGAGTCCGGTTATGGAGAGGAACCTCCTCCTCACAAAGCACTGCCGGCACGAAAAAATGATGCGTCCACCCCAGCAACGACCCACTTATTTGCGTCCGGAACGGACTCCGGCGGCAATCCTCTCCCCTGACGACTCCGTTTTACCCCTGGGAGGTGGTACGCGTCAGGCCGGGCTAGCAGCTGCGCGGGCAAGTCGTTCCGCAATGCGTACGAACGAAACCGCCTCTGCGCGCGCCAACGCCAACCAAAGAAGGATCTCACCGTGCCACCTCCCGCTCGCACGCCTTCCCCGCCGCCCTTCCACAACCCCGTCACACCCTACAACCATGTCCTCCAAGAGATCCTTCGCTTATGTCGAAGACTTCTCGTCGCACAATGAAGAAATCAAGGCGGCAACGCCCGCGAAGAAGACAGCGACCAAGTAATCTAGGATGGGCCCCCGAGAGGCCACCGGTCAGGTCACCGAAGAAGTGCCGCAGTGTCTGAACTTTTGCGAGAGCTTCGACCCGCCCTCCAGCGCCGAAGTCAAGATGTGAGAGCACAACATGCCCATCCTGTGAGTAAACCCTTTGCAGTGCTTATGCCTTGCCTGTCCTCTTTCACTTGTTGCGTACACGGCCCCGACTCCACCAGGTTTCTTTTCCTGGGCAGACCCTGCCCGCCTTGCCCTATGTGCCCACGTGCTTTCACCACTGCCAAAATATCCGCGTGCGTCATGCGCATGCCACAGCTGTGCCTGTCTACTTGACCACGACTTCATTTCCGCGTGCGACATGCCCTACTTATATATATTATGTACCTTCTGAATGATGTGTACACCCTTGTGCCTTTACAGTAGTGCTTGAGCTTGTCTCTTCCTGAGCTGCACTTTTCTATTCTACCAAATTTCTTTGCTATTGGGCTCGACCATTACTCTCGCATCCGGCTTGCAAATGAACTCTGAACATGGCGAACTCTACATTTTGCCGCTGAACCTCGCAACCGTCAATATTCCGGATGTCCTTGCGCTATTTGCGTGCGTCATGCGCATGCCATGTGAACGGCCCAACCCGTACTGAGTGTACCTTGCGTCCTCTGCTCCACGTGTGTACGTACTGCCGCTGCTGCGCCTTTCTACTTGACCACGACTTCATTTCCGAAGATGGCAAGGGTGGTCATTAAAATTGCATTTGCAAATCCTCATCCCGTCAACTGCTTCGTTGTTTAATTTTTGCCAACCCACACAACTGCCAAACACCTTCAACCAACGCTCATTCCGTTTCCCTCCCCCCCCACGTTCCCTCCACCCGTTCTTGCAATATCATTGTAATTCAAGGTGCGGATGTGGTCATTGGACCAACTTTTCCAAGATCCAGGCGTTCATCCATAAGTCCGCCAAGAAGATCGACCCCCTCCCGTGTGTTGCTTGCTGCACGGACATGGAACAGGCTGCCCCCTTCCACCCGTGCGGGAGAAAGACGTACCTCCACGTGGATCCTACCGCATGCTTTGAGGCTGGGACTCCAGTCGAACAGGCCGACGATGACACGTGCTTTACTTGCGAGGAAAAGGTTCTACTGCGGAGGTTCGGCACCGGGGAACGCGCCGTGCGCTGCGCCAAATGCCACGCTAGTATTCGCCGACACAAGCTCAAGCACGCTCGACGTGCCCTCGTAGAATCGTACCTAATAATAGAACGCCTAGAACGTCAAAGTGCTCCCGCCCTCAAGTTCGGATCCCCTTCAAAGAAGGGCAAAGCGAACAAGCCTTAGTCCTGTTGAACGGACTTGTGTCCAATTTCGTTTTCTTCGCCCTGTGCGCTTTTCTTTGGAGGACCTGGTGTTCGACTCGTCCGCCTTCCTTGCGCTCTCATTATATCACTGCCTACGGAGATGGTTCCCTCGCCGTCTCTCTTTTTCTGGCGTTCTGAATTTCGCCTGGTTCCACTTGTGTCCGTTTTATCATTGCGTGACCTCGACATATTTTGTGGTGACGTATCGTAGCCCTCGACTCCACCAGGTTTCTTTTCCTGGGCAGACCCTGCCCGCCTTGCCCTATCTTGGCCTCCCGTTCTTTTTCTACCTGATTTTCCTTGTCTGATGGGACCGCATTTCCCGCGTTTTTCGACTTCATTTTCCCGTGTGTAGTTGCATCCTCGGTCTTGAGTCCACTTTGCACTTGTGTCTATATGAGTGATCTGCGCGCCTGGCCTTGCCGCGGCCACTCCCCTCATCGCCGTCTTCGGGTACTACAGTACTTCGTAGGCGTATGTATCAGGATTTCGTGCTGAGTTCCTCGCCTGGAGGGACTGCCTTATTTTCCGTCTGTACGTCGATTCTTTTGCAGTTTGCCGTTTGTATGCTGTATTCGTTGTGCTGCAGACTCAAGCCGGGACGATCAAAAAAGCAATTCCACAACCTTCGCTTAAACACCGCCGGTGAGCCCATCGGGGCTACCCTCGGTCATTCTCTCCCGTATTTGTCCACCGGGGTAGTTGCGGCGGTTAACGCTTCCCCATCCACCCGTCAAATGTTGGCCTTACCGTTATTGCCGACGATGGATACCATGCTCACGGCCGACGGCGCCCGGTCTTTTTGCCCGCTCTATTTCGTACTCATGCGCACGTCGAGTGGGGTTCAAGTCGAAAACGGGGAGAAATTGTGCCTCTTTCCTTCTTCCTTCTTCGCTTCTTTCATGTCACATCCATGGATGGACTTATCCATCATCTTCATCACCGCCCCCAACTACATCATCCTCGACCCCACACATACATACCCTCCCTGGGGAACAAGCGAAAGGGCTTCAGATGAGACCGGGGCTACCCCCGGGCTATTATGAAGGGATAACGCATTCGTGGCTGGCCTTTCGTAACATGGTCCCGTTGCGCTGCTGTTGTTTGGAACATGTCACCGTGACGTCTGCCTTTATGTGCTGGTGTGTCGGAGATCAGAGCTTCTTGTCGAAAGGAACAGCAGTGCAAATATCGTGTGCAGCAAATACCTTGGAGCCTTCATAGAGCAGGATGTGCCTGGGGTCATTCTGCTGGTCCGTTGCAGTACTGCTGCCCGCCTCCTGTTGATCAAGACCTTCAGTAGACGCGACAGGTGGATCACTGCTCCCTTTTGATGCAGTAGCAAGGAACCGCTGCTTCGGGGCTGAAGCACAACGTGGCGCACCCGCAATCGCAAGACATCCTCTTCCATGCCTTACGGCCCTCCGTCGAAGAACTTGCAGCATGCTAGACAGCCAGAACGACGAGAGGATGGGGGTGGATGCGACAGCACCTGGTCTGCGGCAGTGTGATGTGCGGCGCAACCTCATAGGGGGCGACGTGGATAACTCCACCTCATACCCACTTTGCGTTGCTCGCAAGACCGAACTGGTGTGCTGTGCTGCGCCAGTGCACTCCACTAGCATCGCCAGCGGGATGTTCGGTGTGTTGACTTCCGTGCTTGCGCGGGAATGTAGGTCCGTTGTGACCGGCCGCATGGCTGGAGCGCTCTTTGCAGGTAAGGGCAATCGCTCAGCTCTTGAAGGACCAAACAACACGTTTTATAGTAGTTGCGAGCCCCCCCTCTGGTCCCCTCAGTCCCCTACAAGACGTTCGTTGGTCTTTGTGCCGTGTGTTCCTCTCTCTTCTGTTCCTCGTCTTTCAAGCTACACTGCACACGCGTCTTGATTTACAAAAACGTTATCAGTGCAATGTTAATATTGCTGACTCTGGACTTGACTTTCAAAAACGTTATCAGTAATACGCTGCACTCTTGTTGTTGTTGTTGTTGTTGTCTTCACATTAAAAACCGTTCCGATCTCTCTCTACCCAGTACCTTCGTATGTCCGTACTGATCCAACACTCGACGCGGTCGATTCCCGTGGTCACAGGTTAACTTACCCTAAAAAGGTACACTCAAATAAACTGGCCCCGAGGGGTCCGCAAGTCAATAGAAATCAACGACAGATATTCTGGGATCCTCCTGGACTATGTTGAACGATTTGTTCGAGCCTACAGCAGTCTTGTAGTCTAAACTCTCTCCCTCTCTCTCGGTGTCCTCTCTCCCGCTCTCTCCACTAGTGTCGCTACACTGTGTGTGTGACTCTTATCTGCCTGTCTCTCTGCTTGTCTGTCTGACTGCCTGTCTGTTCCTGTGTCGGTGACTGCCTGTCTCTTGTTCTATGTATTTTGATCTTGCCGGGGAGCAGGAACAACTTGCGTGGCGACACGATGCGCTTCCAAGGCGGCCGGAGGTAGCACCACGAACGGCCGCAATTCGCGAGGCAGGCGTCTAGGGGTGAAGAAGTTTGGGGGGTGAGTTGTTGTTGTTGTCTTCACATTAAACACCGTTCCGGTCTCCGCTCAGTACCTTCTAATGTCCGTACTGGTCCAACTGAGTTGGCGGCGAAGAATGGATGGGATGCAGCCAGTCTTTGGGCGACGTACATGTTGTGGCGAGCCGAAATTCGTAACGAGCGAATATGGCCCCTGTCAGCTCTTGGTTTGTTCGCGCGAAGTTTGTGAGCGTACGGATTTTGCGGACACAAGGCAGCTGTTGGAAGCACATCCGTGTTGTTTGCCTAGCTTTTCTACTGCCAGGTGTGATGCTTAGTCGTATTGCTGTTGATGTTCTCTCCGGCACGGCAGCACCCTCAAACGTACTTGTACGCATAGATTGGCCCATAGTGTGCATCCTGCATAACCGTGTTTCTTGTGGACGGTATTCCATGTGCAGGTGAGGATAGTGTCATGCCAATCTGTGTATCGCCTCGAATGCCCGCCCAGTGTCGACACGCGACGTACACGCTCCATTACCCCACGTCTGACAATCGACGACTCAACGTCACGAGAATCGCCAAACACGGTAAAAACCCATCAGCAAGTACATAATGCCGGGCTAACTACGCGTACGTTTTTTTCGTTACACCGCAACACGTGCAGGGAAAACGTGGTAGCGGGAAACATCATCATCCGACAGCGCGGCACTCAGTTCTACCCCGGAAAGGGGGTTGGCATGGGCAAGGACCACACGCTCTTCGCGATGTACCCGGGGTTTGTCGTCTTCAGCCGCAGCCCCTTCACGAAGCGACGAACAGTGTCGGTCATGAAGGCTAAGGTGGACACCGAGGCCGTCGCGGCCTTGCTGGCAGAAGAACAAGCGAGAGAAGCCCGGGCACGAGCTGCCAGCGGGATTTACGTGTCGATGTAACCGACAGCGGTTGTGGAGGTGTTTGTGGTCGGGTACCCACGGGTCGAAGGTAGTCGAAGGGAGGGCGTAGGTTGAGATTTCCTCGAAGACGGTTAATGTCGGGATTTTTTTTTTTTTGGACAATAAGGGTGGGTGGGCATTCTGTGTGTGCTTACCGGGTTCAAAAGCAATCGGTGTCTCGACAGGAACCGCTGTTCCGTTATGGTTAAGGGGGCGCGTTGATTGCCTGCTTCTTTCCGGCTACCCGGTTGAACAGTTTTGCTTGATTCCCCAAGACCGATCAGAGGTTCCAACATTAGTGGGCAGGTGACTCTAACAAAAACACCCTCAACCAAAATGCGGCGCGTGGATGGCGGAGGGCGGCGGCATGTACAGACCTTTGTCCACGTTTTCGTGGAGATGTCGCAGACGCGCAACAGCAACACATACAACAAGCACATTGTTTGCTGCCCATGGAACTAACCGTGGGGAAAGCGGGTAGGGAAAAGACAAAAAGTGGTAACACGCGCACTTTCGACGAGCCCTATACAACTTTTTCCTAAAATACCGCCTGGGGTTGTCGAAAACCACCCCTTCATAGACACCATCCAGCCAGCACCGAAAATAACGTTGCGAAAGAACTTGACACTTGTCACGTTCACTTACACCGCATCTTCTCTCTGGCGAAACACTACTCGTATTACTTACACTTTGCACGCACGTAGCCAGTCGTGGCCGCCCTGCCTACAGGCACCCAAACCCCTCTCCTCTCTCGCATCTCCCCTCCTCTATGGTACCCGTGCGACAACTCTTGCACGCTTGTGATTCGACTTGAACCCAAAAATACATGGCCGACAATGGCGGCTCGAGAATACAAACGCAAACGCTGAACAGCCGACCGACGGCTTTCAACGTCCATCCTTGGCATCCAGATGCCATCCTTCTATCTACAGAAGAGCCGACAACACAGCTCACAAGATGCGACCAAAAGCCGCTACTTTGCCACGCACGATTCCATGCACGACAACGCCTACAACGAATGCGATCGATCAGCCACGGAACGCATTCTTCAGAAAATCTCACGCGGACAGCGTCGTACTCGGTAAGCGAGCCGAACCGACGCGAATCATCATCCACCCCTTCCTGAAAACTAACCGGTCCAGGAAAAAGTACGTATCTCCTCACTCTCACCCACCATGTAGAAGCCTTCTCTAGTGCAACGAAAAACTCGAAGAGAGCAAGAAGGATCAACCCGGGCTGTACAGATGGATACCCTCCGTAATGATCCTTCCAGACAGCCATAATATGATAGCCAAACAAGACCTTTTGTTAATCTCTGCCAGGCATCCAACAGCAGCAAAATCGAACAGCAAGAAAACAAATAAAAGAGGGGACATCACAAAGAAAAGACGAGACAAAAAACCCGACGAAAGTGGTGTGGTAAAAAAATTCCACCGTCGAGTGAAACGAACGTTATATAAACTACATGGATGGATGGGAGATGGATGGCGGATTGCCCAGCATCCCGACCCACAACCAACAGGGATGCAAGCAAGTGTCAACTACAACTATTGACACCACGGCGCTACTACCTAACGTCGAGGCCTACGGAAGACCAGCCTTTTCTAGCAGTGCGTACATGGAGTCATCACCAACAGGACTGCGACGATAAGTTTCGACTGCCCTTTTTCGTTTCACCCCACCCCCCGACCTCACCCCCCCCCCCCCCCCCCCGAAAAACC